TAGGTTGACTAATATTTTAGCTAAAATATGGCGTCCGCCAAGGCTGCCCACTTTCTTTATTTCGTTTAACTTCATCATAGATCTACTGATGGAAATAACGCTCTCATCGACTGAATTCTCAGGTATTGATCTCCTACCAGGAGGTCCACTAATTGACTTAGAATACGCAGATGACATAGTCCTGTTTGGTGAAGACGCTGATGAAATGCAGAGTCTTTTGGTAGCACTGAGCAACAATGCCAGAATGTTTGGGATGCGCTTCTCTCCCTCTAAATGCAAGTTGTTGCTTCTGGACTGGTCTGCGTCAACACCTGAACTAAGGATAGGGAGTGAAGTAGTCGAACGCGTTGACAACGTCACTTATCTCGGAAGTCTGGTCAGCCCTAATGGGTTGGTGTCTGACGAAATCTCTGCACGGATTCGAAAAGCTCGTTTGGCCTTTGCCAACTTACGTCATCTATGGCGAAGGCGAGATATCCGTCTATCAATTAAGGGTCGAGTATACTGCGCGGCAGTCCGTTCCGTTCTACTATACGGCTGCGAAACATGGCCTTTAAGAGTAGAAGATACTCGTAAGTTACTAGTATTTGATCACAGGTGCCTTAGAAATATTGCTCACATCTGCTGGGATCACCGGGTAAGTAATGGTGAGGTTAGACGCAGGGCATTAGGGAATGATGGTAAACCAGTTGATGAGGTTATGAATCTTCATCGACTGAGATGGTTGGGCCACGTACTGCGTATGCCTGAACACCGATTACCACGGCGCGCAACGCTAACCGGTGTTAGGGATAATTGGAGAAAAAGTTAGGGGCGGCCAAACCAAAACGTGGCATCAGTGCTTGAAATCACCTACTTCTGGTCTGAGCCATGTTGGTAGATGCAGACTGCCTGGTTGGGGTCCGCGTGACTATCGTAACCAATGGTTGGAGACTCTTGGTGACATGGCTCAGAATCGATCACAATGGCGTAGGTGTATACACTCTCTGTTTTCCTTAAATTAAGAGATTAAAATCGCTTCATATCTTTCTTTCTAGGAACTAATTCTTTCTTCCTGTACTATCTCCTTATATGCAATCTTTCTTTTATATATTACCACCACTGAATTAACTACTTCTATGAATTCGGTGTTGATCGTGTTGTGCTAATGCGGTATGGCAACTTGGACCGATGCATATACGTGCCTGGTCCTACGTTGCAGCTGACTGACTGACCTTGTTCATCAATTACTATCTCCTTTATTCACAGCCACATTTGGCTAAATCTTGTACAGATGTTTTTTATTTTATGGTACGATATGGTTTGTCTAGTTGGTATATAAACCCAGTATGTTTAAAATAAATGAGTCCTACCGCAGAGGTTGAGATTGGTGTTCTGGACTTAACTGGCTAGGCTAGGCGGAAAGCAGGACCGATAAGGACTCTAGATTGCTCGTATGGGTCTTATGCGTCATTGGTCTGATTGATAATTCACTGTTCTCTAATTGGAGGTATCGTTACATTATACATTAACAAGGCACACAGGCCACAAGTTATAACAAAGCCTCACTAAGAGTTGGGTTTACATCAGTTTGCTTGAAGATAGTGGACGAATGGAGTATGGCTGAAGGCCAGTTGAACTGTTCCATGAAGCGGTATACTCATCGGTTTAATCTCTTGGATTGAAAGTGAATAGTAATCCCGTCTTTTTCCGAGAGTTTCATTAACAGACATGGTTTTAATACCCGTTTTCTTGATAGGTCTGAACAGTTATCTACTGTTACCTATCGCTGCTCCCTTTCCTATCTCTTTTGGTCCCGCTACCCACCGCTGCTTACCATCATTACGTAGGGTTATTATTAATATGCGTCTAAGCTGCCTTAGCTCCTCATGGTGTCCTGAGCCAGACGGGATGAATTCCTGAGAACCTAACAGTTCTGTAGATGCTGCTGAAATCCACTAACTTTTCTTTTGGTTTAAGTTACCAGTAGATATCACTGTTCCCATATCCTTTTGAATATCATATCGAGCTCCCTTGGGGTGGATATCATTTTCACGGTTGATTTGCACCTTTTCTAGTTATGTTTGAGGTATGTTCTCGATTTTTTCATCAATAAGTTTTCTTGCTGTGGCTTTTCTATGTCTACGCAGACAAATACGTGCTCGCACTACAGCATAATCCGAGTCTAAACATGTGCTTCAGAATGAGTGACAGTCACCAATCGAACCCCTTCAAAGATGGCAAATAGCAATATGATCTATTTGAGTCCAATAATGAGTCGACTGTGGAGGTCGCCACTTCAGATGACGTTTCGCTTCATGCCTTACGTTGATGTTTGCCAGAAACAGACGGTTATTTGAGCATAGTTGCAAGAGACGGTCATCATCATGTTAGCTGAGCCGCAACACCGTAAAATCCGCCTAAGTACCTCTCAGTTTCGTTTGCTTTACCTTTTATTTTATGATATTTTATTTGAACACATAAATATTGGGACAAGGCGGCACCAAATATATATGCGCCACACTAAGTTTTGACAGCCGATCTCGCTTTACGCGCTCAGCACAGACCATCTCATTCCGACGGCACACCTCCCCCTCACGAGGATGACTCCCGACCCCGGGTGTGTGGTGTGACCATCAGAGCCTTGTCTTTTGGCCTGCACCCCTGCTAGGGGGCCTCTTATCACGAGAGTTTGCTGCTGCACGTCTCAGACCTTTCCGCACCCTCTAGATAACCTCACAGTGGCTATCCCCTACCTACTTGAGCATTATAATCACCTGTCTCCAGATACTCGAAGGGTAAATTGTTCCGGCTTTGGCAAAGTGAAGCCAAATGAATAACCGTTATTGGGTGTATGTGCGTTTCAGATATGCAGCATACATAGACGGAGTGGAATTTTAGAGTCTTAGATGACACAAGGTTTAGACATTAAAAGCTCCGACACGTATTTTAGAGTGTGGTTTCAGGAGACGAAGAATAACATTTTTGGAACACAGACCAATAACATTGGTGGAGCGGTGATTAAGATAAATGAGAAGGGTTTGTCGTGGGAGTGGAAGGGTTATTAAGTTGTGAGGGAGGGATTCAAATGTCAAAAGATGATCCAGGGTGTTGAGAGAGGTATGAGGGCGATCGTCACTTTCCGGCAGCCCATACAGTAGGATATTTTTTCCTGAGGGACCTAAAAAGGGAGCTAAATTAGTAGTGGTCTTAGCGACCTGAAAGCGTGACTTTAAAGCGTAAGAGAACTGCTTGAGGCCGACTTAGCACAGCCTATTCATAGGAATTTTTTGATGCTAGCTCTGTATTTGAAAAGGCCTTACCCTCGAAATTGAAATCCGTTGGGTAGTGTGAGACGTGACATTCTTAGGGTCGACCATTTTTAAGCTTGCAGAGCACAGTAACAAATATTTCATATCGGTCTTGACTAAAGAAGTCGACTAAAGTTTGACTCCTAATTAATTACAAATCCCGCAGTAATTCAAGACGACTTTGTAAAGCTAAAGTACCTACCAGACTACTGGCATTAGATTAATGTAGTACGTTTTCGTACACTATGAAAGGATCTATACTAAACGTTATTAAAAGGACATTAACAATTCAAGAAAAATGATTCGTCTACAGTCAACTGCAAACTGCCAATTATATTAACCTCCCCGCAATGTCGAAAGATTTTATGAACTAGATACTACAACATAAGCAAACTAAATTACTCGACTGTGATACGAATATCTTCCAGTCTAAAACTGTTCTATACTGAGGTTTGAATGGTAGTCAGGTGTGAAAGTGACTGACCAGAAAAGCCGTTCTATCAAACTAGGTCTCTGGTATGAACTTAATGACCTTTGCTGATGATTGCGGTTTGTAGGATTAATTTTATGGTAAAAAAAGACCGGTACAACTTGATTTTAAGGCCGGGTACTTGCGGGGAAATACATCCATAAATGGTAAGGTTTTGATACTTTATTGACCCTAAACCATCAGCATGCATTAAAATGGGTTCTATACAGTCACAAGGACCTCACGCTATTATCGAGCAATTGACTAAATGCAGTCCGATTTCGAAGCGATTCGCAGGAAGCGCTTTGACGGTTTAATGAGACTATAGTTTATGGACAACGTTTGAGCGACGCCAAAGTGACCTTGAGGGTGTCTACCTACGTAATAGGGCTAAATGAAGGTCAGTTTGAAGGATAAAGACAATGATTTACAGTTGGTGGTAATGGTTGGGATTTACATTTATGCTTTTTATCACGAATTAATATCAGCTGTAATGCCAAGACGCTCTTTGGACGAATGGATGAGTGAATTTCGCTCCAAAACCCAAGACCTGTTATCCTAAATCTGATTGGTTTGTCCAATAATTATAGTCTCGCCGAAGGTTTCTTTGTGGGATTTGATGTTAGTAAGGGTTTTTCTAAGAATCGTGTTGACTGAATGCGTGTGACCCCTAAGGCACCACTGAGACGAGTTGAGGACATTTAGTAATGCATTATGGACGATGAGGCCGCCGACCTGGTGAGCATAGGCACATTCTAATGTGATGAGATTACGAACTATTAGGGATACGGACGAAACGCGTAAGAATGCGTTCAACCACGATAGAGAAACAAACGAAATTTTCACTTGAGTTTGAGGATCGATTTTGTGGATGGCTCGGAGTAACTGAGTGAGGCCAAACTAGCAACAGTACGAATCTTACGTCAATCTGAATCGGAAATCAGTGGCATATCTAAGTGTTGATGTTTACACCAAAACCGGAAAATTTAATTGTGAATTCAGATGAAGGCCTAACTATGAAAAACCGGTCTCCATTTATAAAAGACTGATCAGATCGTTTAAGAGGTCAAGAATTTCTAATAAGTAGTTCTGTAGCCAGTTAATTAAGAAACCACTGATTTTAGTAAGTCAGGCATATACACTTCACTTCTGGTTATTCAAAATTATTTGATATAACTACCTAACGTTCGCGAGATCATCTAGGCAGCTACATACAAAAATCAACGAAACACTCCACTCACCTCACAAGCTTCATCCTTGTATGACCCACTTAAACAAGCGTCATTGGAATATTCTAACAAATAATAATCGATACTTTAATTTTGCGCTCACCAATGAATTATGTCAACTCAAGTGACTTTGCTAGCATAAAAATATTACATTGATATATAAAGTATTGTAAACCCTGAAAACTACCATTGAAATTGTCATGTGTCACTAGCAGCGATACTCGTCACATCCCAATTACAGGACAAACTACATCCTCTTAAAGAGCTAGCTATTCGGATTGAGGTATAATGAGCAAAGTTTTGAAAGGCCTATTCATAAGTCAAGAATTCATATTCTAAAGACTGTATCATAGTACACAAAAGCAAATAAAAATCCATTCACAACAGGGATTTTCAAACCCTACAAACAAGACATTGCTACAGACACGTAGAAGTGTCCAGTTAGAACAAATTACCTAAAATCCTTCGAGCACAACACTAACATCAAGGGATCTTGCTTTCTAAAACCGAGGAGCTAGCTATTCTACAGTTGTCGGAACTGGCTACAATTTAGCTATTCGTTACATCTAACGGGTTAGTAGATTTTAACCAAGTCCTCTTGTGCCCCTCCGGTGTTACTACCATTTCAAAGCCAGGGTAAAAGAAAAGCATTGGACATCGCGTTAACAACTCCACCTTGTTAAAAGAAGCTAGCTCAAGAATACCAACTGGAAAAAATAATTTGTTCTACAATACCGGGTAAAGTCTTCAACAGAGTGTTACTGAACAGGATGAAAGACGCAGTTGACGCTCAACTTCGAAGTCAACAAGCTGGATTCTGTAAGGACCGGTCGTGCACAGACCAGATTGCGACACTACGGATCATCGTCGAACAATCAATTGAGTGGAACTCGTCACTCTACATCAACTTCATTGATTATGAGAAGGCATTTGACAGTGTAGATAGGAGGACGTTATGGAAACTTCTTCGACACTATGGAGTTTCTGAGAAGATTGTCAACATTATCCGGAACTCATACGATGGACTACAGTGCAAAGTAGTGCATGGAGGACAGCTGAATGACACATTCCAAGTAAGGACCGGAGTAAGACAAGGCTGTCTACTCTCTCCTTTCTTCAACTGAAGAACATATGGAACTCAAAACAACTTTCAACCAATATCAAAGTCAGAATCTTCAATACGAACGTCAATGATGTTCTACTGTACGGAGCTGAAACTTGGTGAACTACAACAACCATCATCAAGAAGGTACAGGTATTTATCAATAGCTGTCTACGCATGATACTCAACACCCATTGGCCGGATACCATCAGCAACAGCCTTTTGTTGGAGTGAAACAACCAGCTTCCAGCTGAAGAGGAAATTAGGAAAAGACGATGGAAATGGATAGGACATACATTGAGGAAATCATCAAACTGCATTACGAGACAAGCGCTAACTTGGAATCCTGAAGGGAAGCGGAAAAGAGGAAGGCCAAAGAACACATTACGTCGGGAAATAGAAGCAGATATGAAAAGGATGAATAAGAACTAGAAAGAGCTTGAAAGGATTGCCCAGGACAGGGTTAGATGGCGTGTGCTGTTGGGCAGCCTATGCTCCTCCACGAGGAGTAACAGGCGTAATTAAGTAAGTAAAGTAACCTGAACTCTGTTCTTAGTACTAAACGCTCTTTATGCAGGAAACTAACAACGCCTCATCGTGATAGCAGACTTCCGGGGTATCACACGAAAGAAACATCAGCTATTCTCTTTTCTCTTACTTCTTCCATGGACGTGAATACTTTACTAATTTAAATGTGGCTTTCCGTAGTGCGATTTAATGAACCTCTCATGGCTTTATATGTACGTTTGTGGAGAAAATGCTGCTATATGTAGCCATGATGTTGAAAACTCAAGGTTTTGTCAGTTTACCGATGTGCCCACTCCTTCCTTCTAGTTCATTTACGCTATAATACGTTCACAGTCTATGTTGTTCATACCGATCTTCACATTCAGATCTCCCATTACGATAATTTAGTGCTTACCTGAGGATTTCTCCATGATAGGACTCAGTTTTACATGAAACTGATATAAGTCATGTCCCGCGTTATCATTGATGGGCGCGTAGAGCTGGATGATATTCCGTGTCCATTCTTCTTTCATTGAATTAAACAATATTTTTATTATCCTGAAGCTATAAACCTCCCATTCTACAAGGGTTTTTCATACTTCTCTGGGTAAGATCAGTAAAATTCATTGTGTGTACCGAGACTCATCTTCATGAAGAAAATATAGGAAGTATTACGGGAGGAGTGGAGATATTTGGCTGATTAAAACCTTTATATTGAATATTAATAATTTCACTGTGCTTTAGGATGTATTTGTTTTACTTGTTGTTATTTGTTAATATCATTATTTTCGGACGTTTTGGTTTCTCTTTGTCTTTGGTTTGGTATCTATAAGTCTTTGCTCCGGGGGTTTTTATAATTGTTATAATTATTGTTAAGACAACATCCGGGTCGACTATTTGTAAATTGCCAATAAACTTTGGTACCTAATTTAGAGTTGGGTTCTATTGTTGATTTGGGTTCACCAATTGCAAATAGATCGATATACCGTATTTCAATAATGGGAACGAGCAAAAACTTGAACGTAACAGTAAGAGCTCTACCGAAGTCGGTTTTTTTCGTCCAGGTTGGGTTGGTGAGTTCCATGTCAGATATGAAGCCAGTTTTGAGAGAAAGCAATGTAGTTGCAGCTGGATTGTCGTGAATAAACTTTAGTGACTTCCCTCTCTGAGTATTCTACTTTGGAAAAAGATTCCGAAGTGTTGGCTTCCTACGATCCGAAGTCTTACCCTAACTGTGACAAAAATGACTTTCCAGCAAACGTTGCACTGGTAAGGTTGAAGCACATTATGGTCAGTTTGACGGAACATTTCACTTAATCTTCATAAGTTTTATAAGATCCTATTTACAGTATAGTAATATAGGGCTTCCTCCGTCACTCCAAAAGGATAAGAATAGATTGGGTCGTATCCAACGCCGAGCTATGAACTCAGTTCGTGAACTGAAATTGAAACCTTATGAAGAGAGTATCAAATCTCTGAACCTTTACTCACTAGAATATAGGCGTATCAAATGTGACTTTCCAAGGAACTGTGTCATCCTAAACACTCCTGGTTACCCCTTGAAATACCTATTTGAGCGCAGTCTTAACACGAAACTTAGGGGTAATATTTACAGATGTGGGACCTAACATGACAGAACTGACTGTTTAAAAACCTTTTACTCCTTACAAGTAGTCAAATTCTGAAGTTCGCAGCCAGCTGATGTAGTCCTAAAGACTCCTTTTGAGTCCTTCAACAGAAAGCCTCGCGTATTTGTAAGAAGTCAGGACAGTATTAGACCATAACCCATTAATCTTTTTATCGTTAAATATAGCTAAGTCCCTAGCTGAAGACATCGGTGGTCTGCTGCTACTTGATACGGAAGCTAGTAAAGCAAAAGCTACCTCTATTACATCGAGAACCATTTGAACCACTTAAAATAAACAGCAAATATGAGATATCACCTGTCTCTTACAAATTCACAGACACCTAAAAGACTACAGCTCCTGGCACACAATTCCGTCTTTTGTGTGTTTTGGAATATCAATGCCCTAATTGGAAAACAGACTGCCTGAGGATGTAACCAATCAAATAACATTTAACCATCGTTACATTAATAAATTACTGCTGAAAATTAAAGGTGATGGACAACTTCCTTAATATATTGAACTTAAATTGTTCATTAACTACGTAATTATGTACTGATCAAACATAGAGAAATTTTGGTTCTAGTTGTGTTGCTGAATATGAATTGAACTAAATGCTGATCCTTACTAGCAAAACACACAAAATTCACCAATGAACACATAAATATGGTGAAAATGAGACTAATGACTAGAGCTGTTGAATCTTTCGCTATAATTGTCCTGTGTTTGGGTGGAAATATCCGAACTTAAGAGCATTTTATTTATCCAGCCTTCCTGAACGTGAGGGTCGTTATAAAAGACTGATGTTGTTATATGTGTTGTTCATATGACTTAAAACATAAGTAAGACAATAACAATCAGTTGTATAATCAAATAATAAACACTGGATGTCACAGTAAAATCCTTTCCTAGTGTTCTGAGTGATTAGGTATTGAAATCCCTTCACATACACGATTTTGTGGCATAACTTATAATTTTGCTTTGAATGTAAAGTTGCTCATACTTCGTTGAGCTTTTGATTCTGGGTGAAACGGTTGCCATATATATCTAATTGTGGTTTTAATCTTTTAAGCTACTGCCGAATTTCTTTAACGCGGCCTGTAGCTCTTCTAGTGTTACTGCCGGTCTCAAGCCCACACGGAAGGGGGTTGGTCATGATGTCAGTAACCCCATCCCGCAAAAATAACCTTCTTAGAAAACACTAGATGGGATAGACAATTCAGGAGAATTGTGACATCTCATGGTGTAAGTCGAGATTCTTCGGGAGTCACGTGATCGATGGCCCTTCTAACAATCTGAGCAATTAGTACTACAGGTACATGGAATGTCCAGGTAATGTGAGAGGCCGGAATGCGATACAACATGTCGGTTCTTGAAATTTGCGAAACCCATCGGACCCAAGCTAGATAGAAAAAATTAGATTTGGGTGAGGTGCTGCTGCAATCATGTCACGAAGAGGAAAGTTCTCCTAACAGTCAGGAGGTTGCTCTGATGCTGCCCAAAGTAGCACGAGAAAAACTTATAGAATGGGAATCTTGTTGATCCAGGAACATCAAGGCACGCTCTAAAACAAAGGAAGGAATCAGTGCTATATACCCACTAATGAGAGCAACGAAGACTATTGAGGTCACCCTTACAGGAGGCTGCAATCAACCACAGAGACGTTATAAGGAAACGGCCTGACCATCCTGATGGGAAACCTAAACTTCAAAGTCGGAATGGACAAAAACGGTTATGAAGATATCGTGGGACGACATGGACTGGCTGAGAGAAAGGAATGACGTTGGTGACAGACTTGCAAATTTATGTTCATCCAGCAAG